ATCATCCATGTGCCATGCTGGGTGGTCACAGAGCCAACAAGAAGCTTCTGCGAGGGGGGCATGTCCAGGCCCCGTGGGCGCAAATTGGGGCCATCATTCGTTCTGTCGCGCAGTATTGCTCGATCTTTTGGGGGGCAGGGGGGGGCCCAGAAGGGGGGTGCTCGTTATTATTTCGGCCATGCGTCGGGGAGGTCGGAGGTTGGCGGGTGAGGTCGCAGTCAAACGGGGAGCTCCCCACCGGGAAATCGGTTTCGGGTTCGGGTTCGTGTCGTGCGTGCGGGCGAGGCGAAGTTGCGCGGGCTGGCCAGGGGGGGGGGGCGCCGGTCGTCGCTCGGCTTTGCCTCGCTTCGCCTCGCTTTCCTTCGCTGGGGCGCGGGTGTCCCAGGTCTCCGGCCATGGTGTCCCGTGGTGTCTCGTGGTGTCCCGTGGTTCCGTGGTGTCTTCTGGTGTCTCGTAGTGAGATCGATAGTGGGATTGATGGATGGATCGGTAGATTGGAGGTTGGGGGGCGATATCGAAGTAGAGCGGAGAGCCCCCCTTCGGGAAATCGATTTCGGGTTCGGGTTCGTGTCGCGCGTGTGGGCGAGGCGAAGCTGCGTGGGCGGGCCAGAAGAGTGATCCCAGCGTGGCTAGGGCGGGTCAAGACAAAAAACGCCCCTCTATTGAGTTGGCGTCGCCAGGGGCACCCCGCCGTGGTGTCCCGCCGCAGTGTCCCGTCGGTGTCCGCGGGCATTGGCTGGGGCGCCCCACCGTGGTGCCTCGTCGGTGGCCCGTCGCCAACTCGCGAGCGCATCACCAGCATCGCCACCGTCACAATCATCGCAAGTGTCCACCGTCGTTTTTTTCCCCCAGCCCCATTCTCACCCAACGGGTGGTCTACAGGTAGAGAGTGACGTCGATAGATACATCGACTGTGATATGGATAGTGCAATCAGTATTGGGATCGATAGTGATATATGTGTATATATCGGAGGTTGGGGGATGAGATCGAAGTGGAACGGAGAGCCCCCCTACCGGGGAATCGATTTCGGTTTCGTGTTCGTGCGTGCCGTGCGGGCGAGGCGAAGCTGCGTGGGCGGGCGAGAGAAAGTCTCCTGTGGCTGAGGCGCGGCCGGAGCAAAAGAACCTTGACCGGGCGGCCGGTGCCCCGCGGTGTCCCGCCGGTGTCCCGCTGGTGTCCCGTGTGGCTGAGGCGCGGCCGGGGCAAAAGAACCTTGACCGGGCGGCCGGTGCCGCGCGGTGTCCCGCCGGTGTCCCTCTGGTGTCCCTTCGGTGTCCCGTCGGTGTCCCGATGATGACGTGGATGGTTATGATGATGATGATGATGATGATGATGATGATGATGATGATGATGGTGATGGTGATGGTGATGGTGATAATGATGATGATGGTAATGATGATGATGATGATGTTGATGATTGCGATGATGATGATGTTGGTGTCGTTGATGATGATGATGATGATGATGATGATGATGATGATGATGATGATGATGATCATGATGATGATGATGATGATGATGATGATGATGATGATGATGACGATGATGATGATGATGATGATGATGATGATGATGACGTCGATTGTGAGATCGATTGTGATATCGATCGTGAGACCGAATGTGATCGATTGTGCGATGCTGATGGTGATGATGGCCATGATGGTGATGATGATTGTGATGATGATGATGACGACGTTGATGATGATGATGATGCTGATGATGATGATGATGATGATGATGACGATGATGATGATGATGATGATGATGATGATGATGATGATGTTAATGGTGAGCGGCATGTGTGTCGAGCGGCATGGTGGGATCGTGTGTGAGATCGACGGTGATCTCCACAGTGAGATCGATCGAGTGAGATCGAAAGGGAGATCGTTAGGGGAACCGATAGTGAGATCGATAGTGAGATCGATTGTGAGATCGCTGGTGAGATCGATAGTGAGACCGGCCGAGAGAGATCGATGATTAGATCGATAGTGAGATCGATGGTGAGATTGATCGAGTGAGTTCGATTGAATGAGACCGATAGAGAGATCGATACTGAGATCGATAGTGCAAGAGGCGGCGCGGGCTGCGCCAAGCTTTACCAGCACTTCAGTCTTCTGTTGCCAAATGGCGCCGTTAGCTGCCGTTGCGCAGGTTGGGCAGGTTCCCAGGGGAAGGGTGACGTAAACAACTTGACACCAACGCCCCCAAGAGCGAACGGCAACGCAACTATCTCCACTGGCACTGTCACAACAACATTCACCACTGTTGCCCATTGCTGGGCCCCCCCCCAACCTCCTTATCACCCGCAGGTTGGTCGTATAGGTATATGTATATGAAGGAGGTCGGTAGTGGGATAGATCGTGGAATCGAAAGCGAGATCGATAGCGGGATCGAGTCTGAGATCGATAGATCATGATATCGACAGAGACAGAGAAATCGATAGTTGTGTCCCGTGGTGTCCCGCAGTGCCTCGTCTCGCGGTGTCCCGTGGTCTTGAAAGTTCGTAGTCGGAGGTCGGGAGGGTGTGATCGAAGTGGAGCGGAGAGCCCACCACCGGGAAATCTGTTTCGGTTTCCAGTTGCTGTCGCGCGTGCGGGCGAGGCGAAGCTGCTTGGGTGGGCGAGGGGATTGTCCCCGTTGCGGCTAGGGCGGGTCAAGAAAAGACCGCCGCTCTGGTTGGACAGAGTGGCCAGGGGTGTCCCGCCCTGGGGTGTCCCGCCGCGGTGTCCCATCGGTGCCCCATCGGTGTCCCATCGGTGTCCGCGGGCGGTGGCCAGGGGTGTCCCGCCGCGGTGTCCGGTCGGTGTCCCGTCGATGGCCCGTCGCCAACTCGCGAGCGCCATCACAATCATCGCAGTTGTCCTTGGTCGGTTTCCCCCTTCCCCATCTTCCTTATCACCCGAATGGTGGTCGTATAGATATGTTCTTGTCAAGGAAAGAGCGCGCGGGCTAATGCATGTATTCTTGTTCCGTGGGTTACCACGATCCTTTTGTGTTTCGTAGTGAGATCGAGTGCGATGTCAATAGTGAGACTGACTGTGATATTGGTCGTGAAATCGAGTATTCTTCTAAACGAAAAAGCGCGCGGACACATACATGTAGCTTGGTTCCACGAAGTACCCCGATCCTGTGGTGTCTCGTAGCGGGATCGACTGCGCGGTCAAATACATGCCACCTGTTTCCGCTGTTTGCACCGATCCCTCTGGTATCTCGAAGTGAGATCGAGGGCGAGATCGATCGCGAGACCGATCGCGCGACCGAGTGCGAGATCGATCGCGAGATCAAATGTTCTTTTAGAGGGAAGAGCGCGCGGGCTTATAAATGCCATTTGGTTCAGCTGATTGCCTCGCTCCTCCGGCGTCTCGCACTGAGATCGGGCGCGGGGTAGTGAGACCGACAGTCCGACGGTGAGATCGATAGTGACATCGAGTGTTCTCCAAATGGGGCGAGCGCGCGGGCAAATAAATTCGACCAGTCTCCGCGGGTTGCCCCGATGATTGTCCCGATACAAAGTTAGATGAACAGGCCGGTTGCCCAGTGCGTTTGCGGCATGTCCGACTGACAAGGAAAAGCGGACACATAATTCGGCGCCGCCGAGTTCCGCTGGCCGCGGCAACGGCGCCCGCTGATGAGGTGACCTTTGGGTGTTGCCTAGTTTAGCAAGGATATTGGAGATGGCTAAGCCATATGTAAACTATTTATATAGCTCCTTTAAATTACGTATAAAATTATGACAAACTACTTGTACCCACATGGGAGACAGAGGCACGATGCCAAGAGAAAACAGCTTTCCCCCCAAAGATGGGATCTTTGCTTAAATGATGTCATGAGGACGGCACTTACAATTACTTCTATGTGTTTGCCGCGCATATTGATATAAACCGATATAAACTAATATATGTGTTCCGCACTTTTGATGTTATAACTTTTGGCATTGCGAAATTGGTGCACGCTATCCCGCATTTGTTGAAAGTGTTGTTATTTTTCATTTTTCATTAGTTCACATGTTAAATATGATCCCGTGCCCTTTTTTGTTTCAGCATACTATTGCTTGCTTCGTGTTTTACAAAGTTATCTCGTTCCGTTATCCAGTTTGGGTTTGCTCGGAGCTCCAAGTTTGGGGGAATCGGTTCGCGGCTACCATCTCGATCAGCAGTTGCAGTGAAATCATGCTGTCCCCGCGGGCCCGATGAATTCATGCGAGGGCACGCTGGGCTCATGTCAACAATGTTTGGCGCCAGCACTGATGTATCATGCGCGTATGTATATATATATATATATATATATATATATTAGTAGTTGCATGCATGGGGCCATCTTCGAACCATAAATTGCGGATCTGTATAGGCGCTCGTGTGGGTTTTGTGGGGGGGCGCGGGGGGCGGGGGGGCGTGGGGCTGTCCTGGGAAAGCATCGGGCCACCAATGTCGCATAATGTTCCAGCCCCCTCCATCTGGGCTTTCAGAGCTGCCCCAACGGGTGTCTCACCCCCCCCGTCGGGGCTTTTATTGGGCCCCCCTCGGGCCGCACTGTTGCATTTTGGCCTCGCGGGGCCCCCGTTGGCCGTCATCTTGAAGCCTGCAGGGCTTTGTTTTCATAAGAAAGCCGTCGGGCTATGCAAGCCTCCAGGGCTAGACATCTTGGAGCCTCCAGGGCTACATTTTGAAGCCTCCAGGGCTAGACGCCTTGAAGCCTGCAAGGATAGACAACGCGAGCTCCCGACACCGCCGCCCATCATCGTGGGGGGGTTCGAAACCGCTTTGGTTTAGCAGGTGTCCTTTCCGTTTGACGCAGCCGCGACAGTGCGCGCCATGCGAGATGGCCGCATGTTTGCCGGCGCTGTTCTGCGAGGAGTTTGGCAAGCTCAGGGCTGAAGCAGAGCGCAAACGAACATTTTCAGATATTGATGCCTTGCTTGCGTAGCCACAATTTGGCGTGCAGCATCGAACGGGTGGCGCCCAAACACTTTCTCACGCATCCGAAGAACAGAGGCGGGCTCATGTTGTCGCCGCACAACGTGCACAGGAATGCGGCCCGCATCCATAAATTCGGAGCGGACAGCTCTCAACTGTCCAACGTAATGCGCGTCGAGATTGCGCCGTTTGGCCAGATTCGCGGGGAGCAGTTGTCCAAGAACCGAGCGCTTATTGACCGATCAGTTGGGTTGCTTGCTCCAATCAACGGTTCTGAGAGGCGCTTGAGCTTAGGCTGTGGGCGCACTGTTGCATGCTGCAAGACGGCGGCACTTGGCGGCCGCACGTCGCAGAAGGCATTGCAGGTTATTGGCGGAGACACAATTGTTTTGCAAAAGGTGCGTGTAAAAAGGGAGTTCAACAAAATGATCGATGACGGCTGGGCGTGGGAGATCGTGCCGCGCGCCGTGGACGCGGCCTATCCTCAGTTCGCCATCGTAGCCCAGGAGGCTCTGAACACGCAGAAGCACATCGGCACCGGGGTTGGCGAGCTGGAGGCTCGCGTGACTCTGGTCGGTTCGCTCCGCGACCATGGTTTCAAGCTACCCCCAAATTGGAGGGAACTTGCCGTCCAAAGCGCGCAGAGTTTGAACGTCCCGTCCGCCCAGCATTGCGATGCGCTGCTGGAGTTTGTGCTCAATTACGGTGGCGGTGGCGATGCGCCTATGATATGCTTCGTGGATGGCGTGGAATGCGGTTGCAATCTGAATATGGGCTCAACGTTTTGGCACGCTTTAACCTACATGAGTTTCTCATGCAAGACGAAGGCCTACCCATTGATCAGGGTTGCGCTCGCCTTGGCCAACATGACAGGGGATGAGGTGGAAGATGGCGCTGCCCGCCCGCTGGTGAAAAGCGACGCGCGCAGGATTACGCCGAGGAAGCAGATGACACCAGCCGACAAGGCTGAGGATATATTCGACCAAGTTGTCACGATTGCACAGCCAGTTGGCGGGGTCGATAAGTTTCTGGAGCCGCTCGGGCAGTTATTTGCGAGGGTGGGGTTGAGGCTGACAGATAAGGAGAAGTATGAGGGTTGGGCACCCAGTACTCGTATGATTCGATGTGCAGAATGTTCTTGGCTGGCGTCAGCGCCATCGTTGGCCAGAAAGTCGAATGCGCGGATTGGGGGAATGGCAGCGAGTCGCCAGTGGGTGAGACTACGGCGCCCTCAACGAAGCCCCCGAAGAAGCAGGCTACGAGCTCTGCCATAGCTGCCGCAGCCACGCTGGACGACCATAAGAGCGCATCTTTTATCGCAGCAACGGCCGGGTTCAAAGTTGGCAGCTTCGCGCAGCAGAGAGGCATCGAGACGGCGGGCCTTGAGAGCATCTTCGTGATAATCAGCATCGGTGACACGGTCGAGTTGCACCAGGTGCGCAATTACTCGAGAACCCCAGGGAAAGCCTCCGTGGGCTTGGACACCTTCCTCACAGAGTGGCTCGTCAGCAAGCAGGGCCCCCCCGAGCAGATGGATGATGGCCAGATGCGGCCGACTCCCCTGCAGGTCGACAGGCAGAGGGCAGTGTTGTTTCGGGCGTTGTTTGATTCAGATTCAAAACGCGCCCACAAGCATTCGCTGACTTTCTGGGGAGGCCCGACGAGGTCAGGACTGCAAGCGGCATTGCCAAGGATCAGCCCGCGCTGGTGCCCGTCGCCTCCATGGCAAACATTACCACGAAAGCTAGCTCACAAGGCAGCTCCATTCCACTTGGCGAAAACAAGCTGAACGCTGATCAAGATGCCGTGTCTTTCTTTGTGTCGCCCCTCGCGAAGCCGTCATCCGTCGCGCGCGCCAACTGGTTCGAGCCGGATTCGCTTATGGCGGTTTTCTGGTGGGTGGGCACGACGGCCGACGAGACGAAAGCCAACGTGGCTCTTGGGGCGATCATGCATAACGTCGTGAAGATCCCAGTCCTCAAGAACACAGTCAATTTGGCCCCGTCTACGAAGTTGCGCACCAACCGCGCGCCGAGGGCGAAGCCTGTGCCCATCCTGGACACCGATGCCGCGAAGAGGCAACGCGTGGAATAGACGCACCACTGAACTCATGAGCGCATTTGGCGCTTCCGTAGGCGCCGCGGGCAGGTCGCAAACTTCATGGCGGCTGATGTTGCGGCGTATGCGTTGGTTGTATATTGACAGCTGTACATGTGTTAGATCGGCGATCTTCATTGTGAAACAGCGATGCGCTGGTCGTCATATATCGCGTCGGGTGGCCCCCGCGGGGCCGCAGTGGGTAGTATCGGATTAGGTCGTGATATCGAGTCTCAGGTTCGTAATGCCACGGGTGTGAACTTTTATGCACCTGGCGCAAAACTTGCATATTATATGGAACTTGGGCCCTTGCTGTCTCTAGCTATATAGCACCATTCGTATTGAATAGTCTCCGCGCGCGATCGTCGCAGCCACATGGCCTATGGGCTTTAAGCCGCACCGGCAAGCTCTGCTCATATTCAGCGCAGCGGCTTGGGTCGAGCAGAGCTGCGTTTCGCCTGCCCGTTCCCTCGACAGCGCCTTCGCTAGCTGGCCGCTGCCCCCAAGAAGCGCGGACATCGCCATGCAGTGCGAGGTGGGCTTCCCCAGGGAGCAGATTCGCCAGCTGAGAGAGGAAAACAAGCAGTTGAAGGGCGCGCCCCAGTGGGCCGTCAAGCAACAGAAGAAAGCTCACGATAAGCTGTGAAACACTCTCAACAAGAAGGCGCCTGGAGCCGTGAAGAAGACGATGATCAAGTTCGGGGTCATCGAGCCCCCGCCGCCGCCTGTGCCCCCGCGGATCCCGTGCCCAGTGGGCCCCGAGCTCCCGTGGGTCGACCCGCGCCGAGCGGTGGCAGTGGGGTGCGTGCCAGTAAAAGATCGCAGCTGAGGCCGACGGCTACTTGGACTGCGCTTGTGCTGTCATATGTTCCCAAACTCATATATGGAACGATGATTGAATGTGGATGGGGCCCATCAGTGCTTACAGTGTTCGGATATGTGTTGGACGGCCAGCCTATTGAGCTTATCACCGAGGTGGTGCGATGCCCAGTGCGGTCGCCGCGTGCCGCGTTTGATTCACGCGCGCGCTTGCAGCTCTCATTTGGCAGCTATGGTTGTTGAGTTCTACAACAGTGCAATCACATTGGCGCTGGCTCGCCTCATCCTCATTGCCCCATCCATGCTCAGTCCGTTTCTCGTGCGTCCTCACTCAACCCCTTTTCTCTCCCCGCTCGCAGGCCTATGAGGGCTGCTATTTTTGGTTATGAAACTGACGTCGCCCTTATGTTAGAGCCGAGTTGCGACAGTCAGGTGGGGGCCCGGCCCTCGCAGGTCTACGAGGCCGCTGGGGCGCCAATCGTGGCCCCCATATGTTTATCGTGAGGCAACCCTGATGTTCAAATGCATGACGCTTCGCGCATCCCCGCCACCCCACCCAGAAGCGACGCCCAGGCGAGTTGCGGTGACGAGGGAAGTGCGCGAGCAAGGCGAGGGCCAGCCGAACCGTTCGAAGGGTGATGAGGGGGAGGATGGATGGATGGATGGATGGATGGATGGATGGATGGATGGATGGATGGATGGATGGATGGATGAGGGAGGAGGGAGAATGATGATTAACAACGCGAGGATGATGAGGATAATGAGGAAGAGGATGGAGGATGAGGAGGAGGGCGAGCATAAGGGCCAGAGGCATCTAGGATGCTTCTCGGAATCTCTTGGGGTACTCTTGGGCGCTCCGGGGATGCATCTTGGGACGTCTTGGGGGTATACGGGCGGCCCAGTTTGGCCAGTGGCGTCTTGGGCGCTTCGGGGCGGGGGTTGGTGGGTGGGTGGCCTCTGCTGGGGGGGGGGGCGCCTGGGGTCCCCTTGGGGGCCGAGTGGGGCCTCTTGGTGCAATCTTGTAGCCTCTTGGGGATTCGTAGAGGCATCTTGGCGGCGCATTGGGATCCTTTTGTAGCTGGATAAGGGGGCATCGGACGCCATATTTGGGTTTCTAGCATGACATCGATCAACGCCGATGGGTTCCTCAATTAGCCCCCCCCCCCCCTGGGAGCACAAACAATCGCTTATCGGGGCGATCGTTGGGCGCATTGGGGGCTCTCTTGGGCGCTTGGATGCGTCTTGGGGCATCGGGTGGCTATCGGAAGTGAATTGGCCAGAAAGCAAAACAGCTTGCCGTCCAGTATGTGCCCATGTATATATACATGCATACATACATATTCTTCTTCTTATAGTTTGTATAAGCCCGGGCGCCCCCCCCCCCCCCCCCCCCCCCCCCCCCCCCCCCCCCCCCCCCTAAAACGGGACCCCCGGAATCTGCAGCTTCGGGGCCCTCCGGGCGGGCCTCGAAGCGGCCCCCTGGGCCTCGCAGAGCGTTTTGCCAAGCCTTCGCAGCGCGCCCAGGGCGATCAGGGGGGTCACCGGAGACGCCCCAGAGACCCCCAAGACAGCACAAGAGCGCTCCAAGAAGCCGTCATACCCCGAAAGATCGCTCCAAAACGTACCAGGAGGCTTCCAAGAGCACCCCCAAAAGGCTCCAAGAGGGACAAATCATTGTTTCTATGTAGGTTTTTGGTGCATTTGGGGTTCTCCTCTTTTCGGCTTCCCGACGCTCCAAGACGGCGGTCTCCTAGGCGTCCGAAGCCGCCTGGGAGGCTCTAAAATCGCCCCGCAACCATCCGAAAGGGCTTCCAGGCAGTCCAAGAGAGCCCCAAAACGGCACAACAGGGGTCCAAAATGGCTTTAAGAGAGCACCATAGCGGCCTGAGATGGCCCCAAGGCACCCTCCGAAGCATTCCAAATCATGACTGGGGCGTTCAGGGAGACCGCGGCTAGAGGCAGGCTGGCCTCAGGAAGCCCCAGGGGCCCCCAGAACACGCCCAGGAGGCCTCCAGAAGGCTTTAAGAAAGCCTGAGAACTTTACTTTAGTGAGGCCCCCAGAGGCTCTCCAAGGAGGAGCCTTCGCAGAAAGAGCCGAGGAGGATGGGGGGAATGCCCGGGGCATGGCGAGAATGAGGAAAAATAAGCATGGAGGAAGGACAACGAACAACATTATTACCACTGCGATTCCAGAAAAGGCAGCAATGAGTTCTCGCTACATTGTCGGCTTGACCTTCCTGCCATTTCCGCCTGCATGCCAAACTTCAAGGACCAAGGTGCAGTGGCGCGAAGCGCCACTGCAGTCTTGTGTATATATATACACATATGTACATATATATATAAATATGTGTATATGTATGTATATACATACATATATATGTATATATATATATATGTGTATGCGCTCAAGGCGATCCAGAATGGCTCCGATGTGCGCGCGCCTTAACGACGCGCCCCCATCCTGATCGTTCCCCGCATCTCATAGTCATCCACGTCTTGACCCCCATCCCCCCCCCCCCCCCCTCCCACGCCACCCGCCACCGCCGCCCCCACCCCCACCCCCCGTATGCACCACCCGAAGTGCCCCCCCGAATGTTTTGCGCAGCTGCTGGGGTGGCGCGACATCCGATGGCCCGACCGAACCCTGACCCACAGTATTAACACATATGCGTTTCCAGACAGCAAGGGAGGGGGTGGGGCGTGGGCCGGCGGTGGTTCGCATCACGCGCCTTTGGTTGTTCCACAGGAGTTCAGTTGGCCTTCTGATCGAAGCGCGCCCGTGCTCGGCGAGATGCTGAACGCCATCCGCGTTGTTTGCCGAGGCGGGTTGGGCCATAGGAGCGAAATCAAACGTGGTTGGAGAGCTGCGCCGACACATATCTCGATCGGAAGCATGGCCCCGTCACAATATACGCGGCCACTCATGGCCGACAACTCAGAGCTCATGCGTCTCCGAGCACCATTTGCCCGCCGTCCAAAGCTAGCACGGCCATCATGAGATCGAGCCGTGATTGACGTCCGCCCACGAGCCCGACGATCCCGTCTTCGACTCGCGCGAGCTCTCGTGGCTGGGCACACCAGCGAACCAGCGTCGGCTGCTTGCTGCTTAGGCTTACCGGACTTCTTGCTGTACTCGTCGGCCGCGGTCGCCACCTGCTCGGTGACGCCGTGCTGATGCGTCGTGTTGCCGCCCTGGGGGGGGGGGGGCGCGCTTCCCGCTGCCGTCGCTGTAGTGCGTGGCGTCGCGCTGCTTCGCGCAGCCGTCGTCGGCGATGTCGTTGCTGGAGTGCGCGGCGCCGCGCGGCGCGTAGCCGTCGTCGGAGGTGTCGCCGATGCCGCGCTGCGTCGTGCTGTAGCGCGTGTCGTCGCACTGCGGCGCGCGGCGCTCCTTACTGTAGTAGTTGGCAACGTACTTCTTCACGGGGTCCTCGTACTCGTCGTCGTAGGTGCCGCGCTCGATCGCGCGCTGCTGCTTCGCGCTGTAGTCGGCACCGCCGTAGCACGCGCTGCCCGCCGCGGGCCACAGGGCGTAGGCGATCAGTGCCCAGTTCTCGTTGATAAACCAATCGTCAGGCAGCAGCCTCTCCGCGTGCGGGTCCTCGCTGAGCTTGAAGCTCATCTTCCACTTTCTATTGCGACGCATCCCACCAACCACGAGCTTCGTTGCGTCGTCACCGAACGCGGCGCACAGCGTGCTCACCGTTCGCAACAACTCGCCCTTGGCGCTCTTCACGTCAGGGCAGTGCGGGAACGGCCCGCGGTGGCTGAGCGGGATGTTCACGGGCAGCCAGCTCCGCATGTCGTCCAGCCACGCCCACCGCTGCGCCTTAACCACGCCCTGCTCCACGACCAGCATCTCTTCCATCGCGCTAAAAGCGACCAGCTCCTCGGGGCGTCCCGGGCCGATCTGGCTGTTGTGTTTGATTGATGCTGGTCGCGTGGGGACCCTGGAGGTTCCCGCTCAAAACTAGGTTCACGCATCACTTGGGCACGGGGCTGGCGCGAGGCCATACTGTGTAGCCGCAGGCCCACATGGGCCTTATTGGAGCCATGCTGTGGCTATGTTCGGCGCGATTGGTGGCGCCATGAGGCCGCCATGTGGGGCCCCAGTGGGTCAGCATGGTTGGCCTCGTAGGCCGTCGTGGGGCCACGCTGTGCGACGCCTGGGCCATCCGAGGCCGCTGGGCGCGCGATCTAGCAAGATCAGCGCCATTGACCTAGTACGTATGCAGTGTGCACGGTATTGTGCCGCCGTTGGTTTTCGTGGGTCGTCTTGGGGATCAGGTTCGGGCCCTCGCGGGATCAAATCCGTCCGATGGGATGCGTGGTGGGGCCGTCTTGAAACCATTGTGGGCCTTATTAGCAGCGCATGCTGTCACTGCCTGAATTGCGACCCCCCCCCTTGTGGCCCCGCAGCCCATCGGGCTTGAAGTGCCGTTGCGCGTCGCGCGTGCGCGCGTGGGTTGTATGCGTAGCCGTTCTGACTCCAGTCGGCGGGCAGGTTGCCGCCGCTGTCTCGACCGACATGCGTAAAACAATAGTGGCAACCGAGCAGACTGTGAGCCTCCCAGGGCTGAAGCCGCAATGGTAAACATCATGTAAGACTGGCGACGTCGCCGTGGTTGACGACGTTGCGTTCGTTCGAGTGGCGGCGTCAGCGTGGTCTCTCAACCAGCTGGTTGCGGCCGACAGCGATGCCGTCCCAGATGACGAAGGAGAGGTTCATGGATTGCTATCTCGCAGCATTGGGCTCCAAGAGTTGGCGAACATGCGCAACCACCAGCAGAAATACGAAGCCAAGACAGCCGCACAGCCAACGTGCAGCTTGTTTAGCAAGAGCGAGGCGACGCCCCAGAATGTTCATTGGATTTCCAAGGCCCAAACAGCGTCCATGCGGGAGCATCCGAAATCCATTGCGCTTGCGGTCGCGGTCGGCGACGACACGCATGATGTGGACGTCCTGCGCGCAGTGCGCCCATCCGACAGCTTATTTGCAGCGCTTAGCGATGATATGGCAGCAACTGTGCTACGCGTGCTCAGGTCGAAAGGATTCCATGCTAAAGCTCTGGCTCCCAAGGATGAGCGCCCCAAAGGGGTTTACAAGCACAAGGGCGGCCGTGTCGTGAAGTACGCTAAATCGTGCGGCTCCAAAGGGTATAGGGTCCAGAGGATTTTGGAGGATGCATTTGCGTTTCTCGCGGGCCCCACCGTCAAGCGCGAGAGCGCTGAGCCCGCTGATGGCCCGCATCGACGTTTTGCAGAACTTCGAGTCCGCCGGCTCAGAGCCAGCGGCTGAGCGCCCTGGTGCTGACGTCGACGGCCCCGATCCTGGAGCTGCCGACGATGCTACCGATTGACGCATCACACTGGGTGACTACAGCCAGTATGATAGGGGCCTGCGGGCGTTCATACTGTCAAGTTGCGAACCTCATATGTCAGAGTGCGCAAATGCATCCACCCTCACCTCCTTTGTAATGGTAGCCGCCGTTGTGTGGGTGGCTGGTCAGGATGATGACACATCGTGCGCATGTATGCGTAATGTTGTGCAGCCTAAATGATGGCTTCGCATGCAGAATGATGTGCATCATGCATGGGTAAGGTTGTTCAGCCTAAGTGTTGGCTTTGGTTTGTGATCACGCGCGGTGTGCTGGCCGTTGCGCGGTTCAGGCCCGACCGCGGTGCGACGCTTCACCGCGAGGCGCTTTGCGCTCGCGGGCGCCCTCGGCGCGGGCGACGGCGTCGATGCAGCGTGACCTCGTGAGCGGGCGGACTGCGGCGAGCGCGGCGCGCGGGGTGGCGCGCCCACCGCCGCGCCCACCGCCGCCGAAGAGGTTGCGCGCCCCAGCGTTCGACGATGTGATGACGGAAGATACCAAGCGGGTGTTCGTCCCCATGTACGACGGCACCATGGCCGCGGTGCTTGATGCGGAGACGGCTGACGAGCTGGCCCCGTCAGTTAGCAGCGAGAACGACTTGGAGCTGATCCAGGCCGCGGCGACGACCTACTTCAGCACGCACCTCTATGTGAATGGCGCGGCGCCGTGGAAGAGCGCGTCGGGCGTGCCGGACGGCGCGCCCATGTTCGTGTCCAAGGACGACGCTGGCAGTGGGTGGCATTGCTTGACCATCGCGTGGGAGACAGCTGATCAGTTTGCAGCATTATACAACGATGCGTCCAAGCCGATGCGCATCGCGTCTTGGACGCCGTCAACACCCCAGGAGACGGTGGACCTTGAGGGTGCGCTGCGCCACCCGCGGTGGGCCACAGATCCGCTGATCACGTGGGACATCAAGAGCGGGTTCGACCGTTGGCGCGAGGCGGAGGCAGAGTTGACCATCATGAGGCAGTCCCAGCAGGTGGCGCACGATCGGCGCACGGCAGCCCCAGCAGCAGCATCAGGCTCGGCATCAGCACCCGAGCAGCGTGACCAACACAAGGGGATGCCGGAGGGCGTGGGCGGCCACGGCGGCTGGATGCCGCGCATGGCGTCGTTGATTCAGGCGCGCGGGCGCGGCAACTGGGGCGAGTGCGACAGGCTGGTCAGCGAGTGCCGCTCGATCAGCGATCGGTCGTGCAAGCTGCTGGGCCTCTGAACGGCCCGCGATCATCGCCCGCACTATGTAGAAGGCCAGCCATCATAATGTCTCAGGACGTGGTGGTTGGTTATTGGACCGAAGAACCACAGCGTATGAGCATGCGGTTGATTCTTAGAGCTAAGAATCAACTGCGCGCCCGATTGCGGTTGATTCTTAGAGCTAAGAATCAGCCGCTACCGCCCTGATGATTGACCCTCCGTCTTAAGAACTAGCCGTGCGACACCATCGCATCGATATTGTCGGTTCTGTTTTTCACATGTCCGATCGGACGGGCCCCATCTGGAGCACATGGCCCCATATCCGCATGTATATTACACTTCATAGCGGATGGGCCCGAGCCCCACGGGCCCCCACTGTGATGGGCGGTGACAGGGATGATTAGGACAATCGGGGATGATGATTTAGCGGCGACGGCGGGAATCGCGTGGGCTGAGATGGCGGCGACCCCGCGAATGGGGTGACGAGGGGCGGGGACGGATGAGGATGATCGGTGACGGCGTGCACTTGTGATGGCGGCGATGGGCATGTTCGTGGACGGTGTGGGCGAGCTTGGGCGACGACGGGGCGGCGGTGTGATGTTGTGCGGGGATGGTCGTGCGAGTGTGTGTTGTGCTATGCCGTCCAAATGGAGCTGGTTGGGTGCGTGTGTGAACACGCATGCATGGCATGGCCGATGTGCCCCGACGACGCGACTGCGGCGGTGCGCCGCACGTTGTGCATGTAACCCAGTCGCCGCAATACTGTGCATCGTTGGTCGGGCTGACAAGATGATGCGACGTATGGTTGCATAATTCCCCACATTCTAAGTGGGGTTCTGATTCTCTCTACACCCGCGTCGCACCCGCGTTCACTCACCTCCCCTTCTCTACACCCGCGTCACACCTGCGTTCCCACCTCACCTTCTCCTTCTCGCTCGTACACGCACCACGCCACACCGCGCCACATCGAACCACACCACACCACGCCACACCATACACCACCACACCACAGAGAGTGCGCAGAGGGTGGTCCCTCAGCGCAGCCTCTATCCGTGACGCGCTCGCAGATCGTGGTAGGAGCGGCACTTTCTCGACACCAGAGGGGGTGCGCAGAGGGTGGTCCCTCAGCGGGGCCTCTATCCGTGACACGCTCGCAGGGCGTGGCAGGCGCGGCACTTCTCGACACCACAGGGGGTGCGCAGAGGGTGGTCCCTCAGCTCGGCCTCTATCCGTGACACGCTCGCAGAGCGTGGCAGGCGCGGCACTTTCTCGACACCACTGGGGGGGCGCAGAGGGTGGTCCCTCAGCGGGGCCTCTATCCGTGACACGCTCGCAGGGCGTGGCAGGCGCGGCACATTCTCGACACCACATGGGGGTGCGCAGAGGGTGGTGCAGGTTGAACGGCCACAAGCTGGCGCAAAGCTGGCACTTTCTCGACACCACACGAGGTGCGCAGGGGGTGGTCTCTCAGCTCGGCCGCTATCCACGACACTGGCGCAAAGCCTAGCAGGCGTGGCACTTTCTCGACACCACAGGGGGTGCGCAGGGGGTGGTCTCTCAGCTCGGCCGCTATCCACGACACTGGCGCAAAGCCTAGCAGGCGTGGCACTTTCTCGACACCACAGGGGGTGCGCAGGGGGTGGTCTCTCAGCTCGGCCGCTATCCACGACACTGGCGCAAAGCCTAGCAGGCGTGGCACTTTCTCGACACCACAGGGGGTGCGCAGGGGGTGGTCTCTCAGCTCGGCCGCCATCCACGACACTGGCGCAAAGCCTAGCAGGCGTGGCACTTTCTCGACACCACAGGGGGTGCGCAGGGGGTGGTCTCTCAGCTCGGCCGCTAGCCACGACACTGGCGCAAAGCTTTGCAGCCGTGGCACTTTCTCGACACCACAGGGGGTGCGCAGGGGGTGGTCTCTCAGCTCGGCCGCTACCCACGACACTGGCGCAAAGGCTACCAGGCGTGGCAATTTCGCGACACCACAGGGGGTGCGCAGGGGGTGGTCTCTCAGCTCGGCCGCTATCCACGACACTGGCGCAAAGCCTAGCAGGGAACATTCGCGACGAGGGCCCAGAACGCAGGATTGTGCATATATATATAATACATAAGCAAACACATAATATTTAAGTTAAGTATGTGGGGTTCCTCGGTAGCGTATTGTGTTATTGCATTGGCGTCTCGCCACCCCACCCGCCGCCTGTCCCACTTGCATGCACCTACCGCTGCGATATCGCCGCCAGCTCAACCGATCGACGACGACGACGACGATGCTGGCCGCGGCGGTGGCGGT